TCCGGTTTACACTCCACCGGTTCACAAGCCTACACTCCCATACACCCCACCGGTTTACAAGCCTACCCTCTCACCTCCGGTCTACACTAAGCCAACTATCCCACCTCCGGTTTACTCTCCACCGGTTTACAAGCCAACCCCCTCACATCCGGTCTACAAAAAGTCTCCAAGCTATTCTTCTCCACCTCCATATGTCCCAAAACCAACCTATACTCCACCCACCAAGCCATACGTCCCATACGTTCCAGAGATCCTTAAAGCCGTTGATGGTATCATCCTTTGCAAAAACGGCTACAAAACCTACCCAATTCTAGGTATAAATTGATACAATACTTAAGGCATCCTAATTAAATATCTATTATTAACAACAAAGTTACGAACTAACTATAACATTTTCGGTTAATTTTAATTATTGTAGGAGCAAAGATCAAGATCGAGTGCACCAAGCCATCATACTATGGTAAGAGCGAGAAGGTGGTTGTGATCTACAGCAATCCAACTGACTACAAGGGATACTTCCACGTGTCGTTGTCCAACATTAAGGACATAGCTCAGTGCCGAGTCAAGCTCTACACGTCTCCACTCGAGACTTGCAAGAACCCGACCAATGTCAACAAGGGTCTCACTGGAATTCCCTTATCGTTGTACGGATACCGTTACCACTCCGACAAGAACTTGAACCTCTTTAGCGTCGGACCTTTCTACTTCACCGGTCCCAAGGCTGCTCCCACCCCTTCCAAATACTGATCACACTATGATCACCGCCATGGTGACATTATTCTAATGATGATGATTGTGCATGCATTATACATGAGGTCGCTTTAATCAATTTATTATTTGCAATTTTTTTCCATTGAAAATATTCTTTTGTTTGTTTGTTCCGATTTCATTTTGATTCCTTGCATTAACAATGCAATCTATCTTTTTGGTTATGCTTTCTATTTTTTATATAATAAAATTGTAAGAGGAACATCATTGTTTGATTTATGCGACTGCTTATATATAAGAAATTTCTTAATTTCTTGGATCATAAAGGTTATAATAATTTCTTAATTTCTTGGATCATAAAGGTTATAATAATTTGGTAAAGATTAATTCTAATTTTGTGGCCATTGCATCAACGCGAGTCTACGGACGAATTTTTCTATCTTTAAAATGTCAAAAAAATCGGTTAAATTCTATCCGCACCGTCTGTTATATAGTTTTGAAAATCATGAGAACACCATTGATCAGCTTGATATTAATCGTGCAACAAGTCTCGCACTTGTATATAACATAATAATTAACATTATAGAATTGTTATTCTTATATTGCCTTGTCAAAGTCAATGCTACACTTAAACCCCCAACAAAAAATCAATGCTACACTTGGTCAATATATGATAGGTTGTGCACCAGGATCGCCCTGCACGATTATTCTAAGGTTAATGCATTTAGCGAAGGACGACTCCAAATTACATCAACGGTAATTATTATTTTCTTATTTACATAACGAACTCAAACCCAAATCGCAATATATGTATTATAAGAAATTGGTGATTCGTCCCCACAAATCAATTTGAAAATTGGAGACATGTGCTTGAGAAAAAGCATTTTAAATTTAAAGTTGCTTCGACGTCGGTATAATTTGTTTAAATTCCCACTTTCTTTACCCATGCACACACCGCACGCGAGTTGGTCGGATGGTCCCATTTTTGGAGTCTTTGAGTCCACGTCAGTTTTTAGTCACTGAGTCAATACTCCAATATCCAACCTAATACCACAATTGTGCCATAATTATTATAAATCGATTAATTTTCAAAAGTGCTTTAATTGTAACTTTTTTTGTTAAAAATCTTTAATTGTAACTTGTAAATAACCACTATTAGCGAAAAAAACAAGAGACAATATGTTTCTCTGGAATCAAATCAGAGAAAATATACATGGGAAAATTTACGCTAGTTTCACTTTTATGAAAAACACATGAATGTGAACAAAAAAAATATCGTCTGCAATTTCGAAGGATACAATTGTATATGCATTTTATCAGGACACATTTATACATGCACGACAGTTTTTTTTTTTTTGAATTAATGTAAAATTTCATTCAATAAATGTGTCTTTCTTCTAAACATTGTTAAACACATAGTTGAACGAAAAAGAGAAACATGGCGTTGAGGAAACAAAGTTAGTACTTGCGGCAGATGATCCATTAGCAAATGGAGAGCCAAATCTCCATTGATGCACGACAGTTAACGATCTATAGAAGTCCATACGATCTATGGTTGTTGGTAGGGGAAGCTTGCTTCTTTCGCATCTTGGTGTGAGGTCTCTTCTTGGAGCTAGTTCATGCATTCACGTTTCTAGTCGCTCTCACTAGACTACCAGGGAGTTAGTGATCGAGGTCGTTGAAACCCCTTCCGTTGACACCTCTTTGTTTGGTCCTCTTTGAACGGCTTCTACTGCTTCGGGTTTGGTTTCTCTGCGGCTTTTGTTTCATGCCTTCATAACTTCTCTGCGCCAAATGATCCTGGATGAACATCCAACATCGACATCACTTCGCCTGCTCCGTTAACCTCCAGATAAATGTTAAGCGGCGGACTGAAAACCTTATATGTTTTATGATCTCCATGTTTTTATCTTTTTTACCGTGGAATCATTTACTAGGTTTATAATTAGCAATTGTAAACCTGAACTTTTTCATTTATGAATGAAATATTTACCTTTTAGAAAGAAAAAAAAAATTTGGTTAACAATTAATGAAATTTAACATGTAATTATCTCGGTCAACTGTCTTCGTTGAACAGTCGATTACTATCATTTATTTTAATTACATTTCTCAAATCAACCATTTAATTTAAGAAATGGAAAGAACAAAGAGACTCGATCGTTTTGGTCATGTTGAGAAAGCTTCGCTTAGCGATTGCTTCTCTACCTAAACGACACTGTATCGTATATACATGTATTTAACAGCTCCGTTACTTTTTAATATCCCTTCCGTTAATTTTTCCAAACGCCGTCTCTTTGGTAATCAAACGTCCCATGGATCTGGAACTAATCTGCCCGCTTCCCCTGGTTATCGGGTCACTCGATCGGACCCGCTTGCCCACCCGTTTCCCCCCAATTACTGGGTCGGATATTTTCCAGTATCCAATTTGCGAACAGAGTAAGTAATCAAACACTCCATAGCCTCTTCAATAAAACCCGATTATTCGACCCGTGATCTCCGGGTAGACCCGAATTAGACTCGTCGGATTCCCTGGGAATCTCCACGATTATACCGACTAAATCAATCGGTTCTCTCTCACAAGCTTCCATCGGAAATCTCACCGGAGAACCAGAGGAAGAAGACGGCGTCGATGATTCCGATTCGTCCGACGAAGACGAACTTCCGGCTTCGGTATCCTCAATCGGTTTAACCGATGGAGCAACCGGTTCTGAAATTCTTAAACCGGATTCTTTAACCGTCTGTTCGGATTGAACCGGAGCTCTGCAAAGCGGACAACTAGATCTCGACCGGAACCACGTGTCGATACAGTCAACGTGAAACACGTGTCCACATTTGGGAAGGACACGTCCTTCGTCTTCTTCTTCAAACTCCGACAAGCAAACAGAGCATTCCTCTGGTGGAGATTGATGGGTTTTAACGGAGTAGACAAAGATCGGGATTTTCTCGAGCACCGTAGGATCGAGAGGTGATAAGGAGGAGGAAGATTGTGTAGGGTCTCTAGCGGCGGAGAGTGATCGGAGATGAGCACTGATACGGCGGCGGATACGGCGGTTTTGACGTCGGAATAACCATCTTGCGTAGCTGTGAAAACAGAGGATTAGAATTACGGCGAAGAAGAGGATGATTACGGAAGCAAGCATGATTTTTCCGTTAAGTGCGTAACGTGATGGTCCATGGCTCGTGTTTCCCCATAGTGTTTTGCTACTGTCATTGATTATGCCCATTGTTCT